AATCATTACCTCTTGTCCTGCTGCTACAGGCTCTGTTCAATTTGTCTGTCCCCATCCTTTTTACATCCCCCTTTAAGTACTGGAAGGTGCTATAATGTCTCCCTAGAGCCTTCTCCAGGCTGAACAACCCCAACAACAGTCTTTCAGCCTCTACCCACAGAAGAGCTGCTCCATCCCTCTGATCATCCTGGTGCCTCCTCTGGACTCACTCCAACAGGTCCATGTCCTTCCTGTGCTGGGGACCCCAGAGCTGGATGCAGCACTGCAGGTGGGGTCTCACCAGGCAGAATCCCCTCCCTCACCTACTTCCCACCCTGCTTTGGATGCAGCCCAGGACAGGATTGGTTTCTGGCTGTGAGTGCACATGGCTGGGTCATGTCCAGCCTCTCACCCACCAGCACCCACAAGTCCTTCTTGGCAGGGCTGCTTTTGATCTGTTCATCCCCCAGCCTGGAATGTTACCGGGAGTTGCTCTGACCCAAGTGTAGCACCTTGCGCTTGGTCTTATTAAACCTTGTGAGGTTCCCATGGGCCCACTCTTTGAGCCTGTCCAGGTCCATCTGGATGGGATCCCATCCTTCAGGTGTGTCAACAGCACCACCCAGCTTGGTGTCATCTGCAAATCTGCTGAGTGTGCACTTCATCCCTTTGTCTATGTCATTAATGAAGATATTAAATAACACTTGGTCCCAATATGGACCTCTGAGGAGCTCCACTTGTCACTGATGTCCATTGGGACCACTACCCTCTGGATGCAACCTTCCAACCAATTCCTAATTCACCCGTCGAATCCATCATTCTCCAATTTGGAAAGAGGGATGTAGTGGGGGAACATGTCAAAGGCTTTACAGAAGTCCAGATAAGTGACATATGTAACCTTGTCCACTGATATAGTCACTCCATCACAGAAGGCCACCGGTCAGCCAGGACTTGCTCCTGGTCAAGCCGTGCTGGTTGTCTCAAATCACCTCCCTGTCCTCCATGTGCCTTAGCAGAGTTTCTAGGAGGATCTGTTCCATGACCTTCCCAGGCACAGAGGTGAGGCTGACAGGTCAGTAGTTCCCAGGTTCTTTCTTCTACCCTTTTTAAATATAGGTACCTTATTTCTCTATTTCTGGTCATCTGGGACTTCTCCTGACTGCCATGACTGTTCAAATATCATGGAGAGTGGCTTGGCAACTTATCAGGACACTAACATGCACTCATCTTAGCACAAAACTTACAGGCTGTGCAGCAGATGCAACTCAAGTGTGTAATGGCCTTGCACATCCTCCTTGAAAGGGTCCAAAGTGACATAATCCACAATGTAAAGAAACCACCTGAGAAGTGAGGAGAGGTAAAAGCACCCTGCAAGCTGGTTGACCCCGAATTCACATTTCCAAGACAAGAACGTGCCATCAGGCACTCTGCCTTGCTGTGAACCTCTGAAGCACGACTAGCTAATGGACACAGACTTCGATATCATTGGATTTGTGCATTTGTCAGTTTTTGTTTGTGTCTTGCCCTCTGTGTGTCACTTCAGGAGGCTGGCAGACAATTAACATATGCTGGCAGATAGCAAAAGAAGGAGAAGTGAGAGACTTCGTCTGCTAAAGGGCATCACACTATACCTGGCACAGAAACTACCAGGCTCTGAAGACAGACATGAGTATCACATGCAGTTGACAGAAAACCAAATACTCAATACAAGAAACAACACCTGGCTATTTACTCTGAAAGAAAGGTGAACAAAGTGATCAACTACAGGCACTAGAGGGTTATTTATGCTGAGTTTTGGTCACTGTTCATTGGACTTTGGGTAGAGCTACAGACTGCAGGAGCAGGACTTGTTATTTCCGCTCTGTAATCAGAAATGAGCTGTTGTCTTGATCCTTTATCACATGTGCAAAGCTAGGAGACACATTAACTTGGAAAGCAAGGGGAAATCATTTTTCCCATGGCCAGTTCATATTTACAGAGGGAGAAGTAACTGAGTGTTGTGTTCTCCCCACCATAATCCCAGGACTACAACACTGGGCCAATTTTATGAGATGCACAGAACAGACATGGGACCTCTTGAACAAATTTAAAGTTTCTACTAAGAAAAAAGAGCTGGTGATTTACAGCAGGGCACCCAAAGTAACACAGGAGTCTACTGAAGAGAAAAAAAGGTATCAGCCAGCATTCAGAAACCAACCCCTGCATACCTTGGAAATGCCATCTGGGCATTCAGTAAGTTAAGCACAAACACATCTATCAGGCCTGCCCAGAAAAAGAAAAAAACCCACAAACTGAATTCCAGGCACTAATAAGCTTCACAGCTGGGAAAAGAATTATATCCTGAACACATATGCATAACTAAAGGAACAAAAGAAGCTGCAAAATGATTACTGAAACTGCTTTTTAGACTTTATCTACTTTATTCTTTGTAATTTCCTGAAATAGTAAGGAGGAAAAAAACCTCCACAGGCCTCTTATGTTCAGTGTTTTTGTTTGCCATAAGCTTGTCTTCTACCAAAGTCTCAGCGTTTCTCCAAGAAGCTCGAACAGAAGATGCAGATTACAGACAGTATCTTCTTCTGAGACTTCGTGGCATCAGTGTTTGGTAATTCAGATGCCTATCAGGACACAGCCTAAAAATCTGCACCTCTCCTGAGCTTCCCTATTCAGTCATTTGAATTGGAAAACACTGAGAAGCCCATGCATGCAAGGTCTAAGAGATTTTTGCAAAGAGGAATCCTGTCTCAGCAAAGCCCAAGTGATTGCATACAGGTCCCATAATTCTAAATCTATCAGAAAAAGGATGCACTTTTAAGAAACTCAAATATTTGATTTACAGCCGCTCAACTGTGAGCGCCAGGATCCAGTGGAGAAAAATAAAGATATTTCATATGCAGAATCATACCCTAGGATAGTTTTCAAGGATAAAAAGTTACCCAGCATCACTAAACAAATCATAATCTTCATTAAAAATGTGCAATTGATGGAGAGCTCCATATTCCCATCAGTCTTTGTAGTGACTAGAACTGCCAAGTGACTAAACCCAATCCTCCTCCTTTATGACAGAAGTGTATTTTTGTTTTGTTATTAAGAATAGTGAATCCTTCTGGCACTGCACAGCCAAGGGCAATTTATAAATTATGTGCTAAAAGCGCTCAGTGCCACAGTCAAGCTCTGATTAAAATAACTGCTACAGTTTATATTTTTCTGTTGCATTAACTTTAATTAAGTGCAACTCCAATGCAGCAAACCCCATTGAAGTCAACCACGGTGTTTTAGATTTATTCCCAACTTCAGCACATGACAATCAGCAAAGGAATTTTTTCTTTATTATGTCGCTCACGAAGGAGATGAGAGAGAGGAATTTCATAATTAAGAGTGAGGAGTTTAACGCTCTACTTGCTCAAATGTGGATCCAAAGCAAACAAAGTACAGCTACTACAGTGCTTGTAACTCACACACCATATTTCACAAAGCTGCAGTGACTTCTTTTGAAATCACCGTGTTTTGCTCAACGACAGACGAGGTCTGTCTGCAATGTTAAGTCTGGCTGCGGAAGCACACACTTGGTTGCAGCACGTGCAGAGGGAACAACAATACTGCTGAATCCCTCTCCAGCTTCACGATTGTTTGGTCCCAAACAATTTTCTGCAAGGTTGCATTAACAACCCACTTGTCCATTTATCTTCGCCGCAGCTGCGCTGGAGCTGCAAAAGTTACAGAACGCAGCGAAATCACTGCAGCTCCATAAAACAGGCAGTCATCTTGCTAGAGTAAGCAAGATTTTTGGGAGCTTGTGTTTCAGCAGGAGTTTGTCTCCTGTAAGCTGCTCCACGACCAGTGCTGGCTGCTGACTGGCTGAGGAGATGAACACACGTGGAGAAAGTAGGCAGAGAGGTTCTATTTCGGGCTCATTGCTGCTAAAAGGTTGCTTTGTTTTTACAGTTAGGCCTTACTTCTTAAGAGCTACCGCATGAGAGCCTCCTGCTGTGTAACTACGAACATCTGAAATGGAAAAAAACCAACCCACTGTCCTTTGCTGGTCAGAGCACTGAGTGTGGCTCCGGGACAAAAAAGGGATCTGAAGGCAAAGAAGCAACTGCAGCAACGGATACACTTTGAGGTTTAAGAGCTGCTTGATCTGTGCATTCCTTGAAAAGTCTGGTTCATGTCTGTAGCACTAAACAACCCGCAAAGGACCAGTCTGGGATTTTGCAGTAATTCACACATGAATTTGCTTGGGCTACCAACTGTGGTGGGGAAAGTATCATCTAAGGAGTATGTCTCCTCCACTTATTAATCCCACAGGATACTGTTTTAATATTCCCCTAAAATGTTTCAAAGCATCACTTCAGGAGCCTGAGGAGTTTTTAGTTCTTGCAGAAGTATATATAGATAAATGAAGAAGAAAAGCTATTTGAACACTGCAGTTTTAGAGTGAAGAATCACCAAGTCAACAAACAAAAGATAAGCCCAAAAATCTGAAATTCTTTTTTTTATGTTTAGAACATTTCTGGCTACTCTTTTCAAAAATCTGGAGTTTAAGCACAGTTTTATAACAACTTTTAAAAGTCATCAGCACAAAACTGTGTGTAAAATCAAACCGCGTAAGACTGAGCATAAATGAAAAAAAGGGCTCTTAGCAGCCAGTTCTGCCAGGCACTGACAGCCGTCACTTAGAAACGCTAAAGCCCATCCATTAACTTCCCACCTGCAGGACTAGAGAAAAGATCCAACCCCAGTGCTGCTCTCCATCCTGCAAAGGGACGTAAATCACTCTGGAGAGATCAGACAGATGCTGTGTGCAGCGCCTGCCACACTTTCAGACGAGAACAGCTCGTCCCTGAGCACCGCCTTCACTCAAAGTTAATTTTACACGATTCTGACTCCGCTCTGAACTACTTCCTAAAGTTTTCCTTGGCAGTTCACACACTTGGACTGCAGTAAGCACCATCGGGGGGGGGGGTTGGGGGTGGAGTAATTATCAGAGGGAAAAGGAAACCGCGGGAGGTGGCACTCACCGTGTTGCATTTCGTCCCGCACACCACTTGCCGGTGGTTCAGCCACTGGGAGGCAAACACTTTATTGAGGGTTCCGAGGTGGAATTCTCTCTCCTTCAGGAGGCTGGGGAGCTGCTGGGCTGCGTATCCGTGCAACAGGCGGTGGTAGCTGGACTCATTCTGCATCCGGAGCTCCCTCCCTTTCAGGTAGTACACCAGGGACCTCTTCACCGGGGGGAGCCGTTTCCTTTTGTGCACCGAGTGATCCCACACATACTGTGAAAAATAAAGATGGAAATCGGATAAAGCAACTGGAACAAACTTTAGGCATCACCCTCCAAAATTCAACGATATTCCCGGCGGAAAACCTGCAGCCTTCCAAACCACCCACGGAACACCGTGCGTGGAGATGAGCCCCGAAACGCTGAAAGGGCCTTTAGTAGCGTGGAATTAAACATATAAATATTTGCTAAAGGAGCAGTAACGCTGCGATGATATTAACGACAGCCCGCGGCCGTTCGGCACCGTTGGGGCGACGTTTGCTCGTGGAAACGGGAAGGGCGCTCGGACCGGCAGAGGGGCAGGTTTAGAAACCGGAGGCCGGCAGGTTTGGGGGTCACACTCCGGGGATGACACCAACCGCGGGGCCCAGCGGCCTCCTCCGGCCGGGCCAGAGCTGCCCCGGCACCATCGCTCTGCCGGGCCGGGGCCGGCGCATCGCGAACGGCCGAGCCCAACGGGGCTCCGCGAGCCCGGCGGGGGGGGGGGGGTTACACCAGGACCAGGGCTGTCCTGCCTGAGTTAAACCAGGGCCAGGAGCTGCTCCTCCCCCGGTGACAGCGGGACCCGGGGCTGCCCCTCCCCTGGATCCCCCCGGTGACAGCAGGACCCGGGGCCGCCCCTCTCGGGTGACACTGCGGGCCCCGAAGGTGTCACTGGGACCCGAGGATGCCCCTCCCCGGTACCCCTGCCCACCCCGGACACCTCCCCAAGCGACACCGGGACCGGGGTCTGCCGCTCTCCAGCACCCCCTGCCCCCCCTCCCGGCACCCTCCCCAAATGACACCCGCCCCCCCGGCACCAGGACACCACCGCCCCTGGCCAGGGTCACCCCTCCCTCCCTCCCTCCCCAACTCCCTCCCTTTCTCCCTCTCTCACTCTCTCTTTCCCTTCCCCCCGGGAACCGGGGCTTATCCCCCTTCACACCGCCGAGAACAAGCGCTTCTCTCCCTCCTCCGCTTACCTGCTCCCCCTGGAGCCCCCCAGGCCCCGCGGCGGCGGCTGCCGCCGCTTTCCGCTTCCTGCTAACTGTTTTCCGGGCCATAGTAGAAGGATGAGGCTGCGGCAGCGGCTGCGGGCGAGGAGCGGCCCCACATGGAGCGGTTCGGAGCGGTTCGGGGCATATGGAGCGGGACCGGCCCGGGCTCTGTCCCTCAGGCCCCGCCGGCCGCGCCTCACGGCATTTTACGGCACCCCGAGGTTTTTTCGACTCTTGTTTTTACGACAGTCTCGTCGCAGCTTTGCGGCGGCGGCTCCGCCACGCCCGCAGCACCGTTGCCCGGCAATGGGGCGGCAGGGCTGACCACGCCCTCTCGCCGTTGCCATGGCAGCGCGGCATTCACGCGGCGGGGTGGCGCCCCTGGCGGCGGGGAGGGCTCAGTGCAAGGCAGGGACTTGGCATTCCCTCAGGAAAAGGAGGGATTTTTCCCAAAACCCCAGGAAAGGGTCCCATAACGGGAACAGGGTCACAGAACCACAGAATGAATTAGGCTGTAAAAGACCTTTGAGATCATTGAGTCCAACCTGTGACTGATCTAGCACCACGGCAACTAGACCGCGGCACCAAGTGCCACGTCCATGTTTTCCTTAAACACCTCCAGGGATGGTGGCTCCACTGCCCTCCTGGCCAGCCCATTCCAGTATCTAATCAGCCTTTCTGTGAAAAAATTCCTCCTCATGTCCAGCTCTCCACTGAACCATCCACTGGAGGGCAGTTCGACTGACTTGTTCAGGGTCACACACAAACACGAAGATTTGCTCGAGGGTCTCCACACCTTTAACTGGTCTGTCGGCACCCCAGGGAAGATCCAGGGATGCACACATGCCAACAACATAAGAGAGACCCTCTAGCAGGCCTCCGCAGCCGAGTGCGTTACCCCCTGCACTCCACTGCCAGTACCCTTGGAGGACTCACACCAACAGTTTATGCAATAACACTCTTTATTAATCTAATAGAAAATTGGGACAGGTTAAGGTTCAAAGATTGCTGGTGATAGTATCTGGCTGGAAAAACATATCCAAAGCATTCTACGGACAAGCTCTGATAATTAAAGAAGGCTGGCTTGAGATAATCAATCACCCCACACAGAGTCTGTTCCTTACCCAACAGGCCCCATGGGGGAGAAGACAGGTTCAGCCTGTCAGCTGATTCCAGAAGTTAGGATGGAGTCTTCACTAACTGTTCCCCATTTTTAACTTACTTTTACGCTATTTTTGCATTCAGATGCAGCCTGAGCAACTCCAGTCATACATCATGTGCAATGCGGGGTGATCGTACCTTGGAGGTGGGTAACATCTGTTACACCTCAGTAACCTTTGGGATGAAGGCGGGTGCCAGTATTGCATCAGTGTTCTCGCCACAATTACTGGTTCAGCAGCAAGACATCTTCTATTTTTCTCCCTTGATTGACAGCTGTATGGCTTTTCAGCTACAAACTACCATCGACTGTCTCCACTTCACTCCACTCTCCATTTAGTCCCCTTCAGCATGGATTGTGTGTGGGAAGCCAGGCATGCTGACCGCATTCCATCCAGGGAGCAGCACCTGCACTTCACCCTATCATTTCCATACTGTCACAATTTCTGTCAAATTGTTAATATAACTTCCCAGTTTTCTCTAATTTTACACACAGTCATTTTCCCACACCATTCCATCTGGGAAATCCCTTATTTCTGGGGAATTAAAGGGATATAGCGTATTTGCTTTTCGTTACACCCCCATGTGGGTGGATGAGTGATTTTTCTGATGTTCACACAGCTCATACGCACTTTTTTCTATGATTATGGAGTCAAAACTGTGGGTCATCCAAACCCAGTGACTGCCACTTGCCGGTGGCATTGTAGAGAAGAGAAACAGGATGAGGAGAAACAAGAAAAACATTTTAGGCCTAGGCAGGCTGGAAAAAAATGGCAGTTCCTGACCACCTGAAACCTAATGGTGCCTCAAGTCATAGGAATCAGTAAACATTTTCCTGATATGACATCGTTTTTATGACTTTTTTGTGTTTTCCTTTAACTAGCCTCAAAGACAAGGGTGCTGTCAGAGGCCAAAGTGAAATAGAACCTCTCAGGCTTCCCAGCTTCCCCTCAGGATAGAAAGGATAATTCTAGTTTGGCAGTTTTCAGTCTTGATTTCTCACTATTAATTCCCTTCTCCATATCCTCCCTCACATGCACAACTGCCACCCGTAGCTGGGACAAAACCCCTCCATTTTGGAACAAGGACCAATCAAAAGGCTGAAAACCCACTGGCTGTGTCCCCTCAGCCCCTCAGGGGAAGGGACAAGGGAGGTGGAGTGGGTGCTGTGGATGCTGAGGAAAGGGGCTGAGAGGTGAAATGGCCTCCCTGGGCCCTGCTCCCCACCTTCATCCAGCCCTTTAGGGATGATCTCATGGAGCCCATCTGGGAGAGGGGCAGGAGGTGTCGCAGGAGTCCCTGGGTAGGGTAGGAGATGGGGACAGGCCCGTGGCTGGCACAGGGACAGAGACAGGGAATGGGATAGGGACAGGGACAAGGGCAGGCACAGGGAATGACACAGGCAATGGGACACGACAAGGAACGGGACAGGGACACTCCCTGGCCCCGCCCCGCCCCCCGCGGAAAGGGGCGTGGCCCATTTTTCTCCTCGCCCCATCCCCGCCGGGTGACGTCACCTCAGTCCGCTCCCGATTGGCCCGGCGGGGAGCGTGACGTCACGGCGTGACGCCATCCCGCCGGCGGGGCCCAGACAAGATGGCGTCGCCCGAGTCCGGCGGCGCCGAGCGGGGCCCGTAGGGACGGACGGGCAGGGACCGCGGGACAGCGGCGGCACAGCGGGGCCGGCGGCCGCAGGTACCGGGCGGGGACAGGGGGGCTGGGGACCGCAGGTGCCGGGGACCGCAGGTGCCGGGCAGGGACAGCGGGGCCGGGGGCCGCAGGTACCGGGCGGGGACAGCGGGGCCGGGGGCCGCAGATGCCGGGCGGGACAGCGAGGAGGGGCAGACGGTTCTGGCGGTACCGGTCCCCTCGCAGCAGGGCCTGGACGTGGGGACCGCAGCCGGACCGCGCTCCTTCTCCCCCTCCTCCGGGGTCAGGGACCGTCCGCCCCCGCCCGGCTCAGCAGGACAGGGGCAGGTCTGGCCCGGGAGTGACGCTCCTGCTTTCCAGCAGTTTCCGGGATTGTCGGAGTCCGGGGAATGTCTCTCTGCTTAATAACCGCTGATGAGTTCGCCCTTGCTGAGTTTGTGAGTTTGCCCGGCTGCTGTTGAAATCGGAGTGAGCGTTTGGTGTCCGTGGCGCTGGGAGGTGCCCCCTCGCAGTAACTTAAAACCGTCAAGAGCAAAAACATCCGATTTTTGTTTGGGGGTGTGGTGCTTGTCGAGGCTGCCTCCAGGTAACTTGTTAGTTTCTGTCGCTTGAGCACTGTGAGTTTTCACAGCACATCTTCCCTGTGACGCTTGTGACTTCAGACTTCTTCTAAACCACTGCTAAATCACAGAGTGATCACTCTTTGGTTGCATCTCCTTTAAGGATGAGGAGCCAGTTGTCTTCACTTCATGGGTCGTAGGCCTACACTTTCTTCTCTATGCTCATCACCTATTTCTGGGTCTTTTCTTCTGTTCTGCTTTTGAATGTCTCTCTCTCTCTGCATTTGAGATGCAGACATCCCGTGGTTATATGCATTGGTGTAAAAATACTTCAGTTTTGTAGTTTCTGACTTCCCAGTAGTGCTTCATGTTCTGTTTAGCTCAGTGCTTACCAAAAGTTAAACATTTAACACTTTTATGAAGCTATTCTGTGTAATTCAAGGGCTGTCTCCCTGTGTTTTGATAGCTCAAAATTTATCATTTTTAAAGGCAAAGTTATCTTTCTTTGGGGTTTTCTTTAATTAGTAAAAGAAATTACAGTAGTTGGAAATGAGTAATCACCTTCTCAACTGTTTTTACTCTTCACATCATCAAAAATTCCAAACAAGTGAAAAAAAACCCCAGTCTTACAGAAGTCTTATGACGTGTCCTCTGTCTCATTAGAATAGAGATAACCAGGTGGACTCTGGCACTTGGCTGTGGAACTAACATTGCTGCTATCTCGGACTCAGTGAAATGTTTCTGTGTTGGATTTAAGCATATGAGTGTTGCCAAGCTAAGGAGCTGGGCTGTGAGTGGTGAAGTCACTTCAGTGGCTGTGCTCCCGATGGAAGGAAGGCATGCTGCATCCCACAGCCTGTCACGGGGTTAAGAGGCTTCTGTGGGAGCTTGGTGAGGGGAATCTTACTCCAGCTGTGGCCCAGGGTGTTAGGGAAAAAGAGGAATTGCTGCAGTTGGCCAGACCTCTTCCTCACCTTCCTTCCCTTACCAACCTTGGAGTGTTTCTGCAACTCCTGCAGCTGCTTGTTTCCTGACATTTTTCAAGGGAGAGGAGGGGGGAAAAAACTGGTTTGGCCTCCTGCTGCCATTTTCTCCGTAGGGAACAGCGATCTGTGTGGAGCTCTGTCGTAGCCAGGGCAGTGGGATGGGCTGAGCTGTCCCCTGTGGCAGCAGCAGGGCCGGGCTGGGCCGATGTGTTCGAGGCTGTGAGTGGTGTGGTGTTGGATTGCAGCACCGCGCAGAGCTGCTGCTTAATGACCTCAGTTTCCTGTGCTCACAGAGCTGCGATTCAAAGGGAGCAGTGCTGCTTTAGGGTGACTTAAACCTTTTAGGCAACGACCTTAATTCTAAGGGTAGGGGAACAGAAAGCAGGCAATTTTTAAACAGCTTTTGCAACTTGTGGGTTTAGTCTCAGAAGCAAAACTGAAAGTGGTTGTCCTTTCCTTCCTTCACTGTTTGTGTGTGGCCTCCACTGTTTGATACCTTCTTTTGTTTGTTTGGTTGGTTTTTTTCCTCGTATGGGTGCACTGTGGAGTCAGAGGAGAAGCTGCAGCTTCTAAGGTCAGACACTGCATAAGTCAAGTGTGAGCAGAAACAAAAGCACATGAAACTTCAAAAGGAAAACCAGGGAAATCTCAGGTAGAAGATATGTGAATCAGTAAGTGTTAGTTTCTCTTTAATGAGTAGAATTTAATTTTCAGAATATTCAAAGAGTATACTGATCATCTCAGAGACTTACTGTATAGTTTGTGTTGATGGAGCTCTTCCACGTGTTCGTGACTGTTTTTCACCCTTATGATTTTTCTATCCATCTCTGTTACTCACGTGGTGTTTTGCAGTGCCCAGTGCTTGCTATCCTAGAGATAAAAATCTGTAACTAACAGAAGAGGAAT